AAAACGTGGTGTATATTTTATGGGACCGCAGAGCCTCGTCAATTCTCTTTCTCGTTTGGCATTCTTTCCCCTGTGGGGAATTTTGCCTTTTCCCATCTTCCTTGGATTTCTGGGATTCTGAGTGCATGTAACTCCGTACTACTAGTACTACTACCGTTACATGGTTCCCCCCCTCGCGATCCAGGAGAGCGTGGAGCGGATGGACAGATCAGAGGAGTTGCCATGATACGAGTATTACCACAACCGAGCACAATTTGGAGAACTCGGAGGGCGCATAGATACACACCCTCGTAAGCCCGGCGTGATTGTTTTCAGTTACCTTGTTTCTTGCTTGTTTACAAGTACTTTACCCTCTCTTCCTAGTCAAGAGATTTTGCCTTTCGTTGATTGCCAAGAGCTGATGACCTGGTCTGCTGCCTGGGGGGAGGGATGGAGGGGATGGGGGCACGGGAAGGCAGACAGGAATAGATTTGATGTCCGTCGATAGTTTCGAGAAGGGGGCAAAGCAGGTGGTTGGCAGCACATACGGAGTGCCTCTTATTGCTTTGCTGGGCAAGGATTCTATGTCTGCCAGGAGCTTGTTCTGCTCGCTGGGACTACCTTTGAAGGGCCAAGTTGCTTGTTAGCGTGGTGGCTTGTGATGAACTGCTTGTTGCTCAGTTGGTCGCCACGGTACAAGTTGCAGCCAAAGCCAGAAAATTGGAATGAGAGGTGGAAGATGCATGTTGCCTCGACTGAGTAGTAGTAGGTACACGCACCGTGCAACCAAACGGGTGCGAAGCGCATGTACCGGGCCACGGCCACAGCCACGGGCCAGTCAAGAACCAGAAACCCAAGGGTTCCCCATCCCAAACCCAATCGCGCGCCCCCGAGAGCCTTCCCCCCCACCAGCATCCCTGTCCCCTTTTAATTTATCCAAGTCCATCTACCGTCGATGCTAGTGCGGAAACTTTGGCATGCCTGGAGCGGAATGCCAACCGATGGATGGATCTCACCCTCGTCCCGTTTTTTTCGTCGTATCTGTCGTGTCGCCCTTCTATGTGGAGGTACCTTGTACTGGGTCCGGGTCAAACGTCGCCGTCATCAAAGTACCTTTTTGCCGTGGGGCTTCGGCAGCGGTACCTTGAACCATGCCCACTTCTACAGTTGGTACCTACAATACTTCGTACTTCCGCACGAGACGGAAGAGTTCAGATTCCCTTTTTTCCGAGTGTAATCGCAATCCAATTTCTTGATACTATCCCCTTGCAAAACAACAGACGGAGAACAACAACAGCATATCGTCCGGCTCGGCGCTGTTGGGGCTCGTTATGGTTGAGGTCGCCGAGCAGTTAAATGAATTCCTTCATTCGATAAGTATGCCTGGGCCGTGCCTAGGTGGGTTCAATTGCGGTGTTGGTTCTACCACCGCTTGTTGCCGAATATGGTTCACCTCGCCTTACACGAAAGACGACCGTTGAAGTTGTCTGACTTACAAGAAAGCACGGTCACTAGGACTGGTAGTAAGTAACACAGCCGTAATAGTGGCTTCGCATACGTTTTGCCTAGGTGATGTTGTCCATTCCAGGAACTTTTATGTCAGCCTTGAGCAGATGTGGTTGTGAGGGCGAGCCCTTGTCGCATCGCGGAATGATGAGCGCAAACCGCGGATCCTTGATAACAGCGAAGGCCTCTCGAAAGGACCGTAACTCCTCTAAATGGGCCAGGCACGACGTAAACCGCCTTGTGAGCCCTGGCTGAGCGTATTGATGCTTCGTCAAGAACAAAGTCGTCGGCCTCGGTCTCTTGTGCTCCGTCATTGAGAGCGTATATACGGGATATGCGTGCGATATTCCGCCCATAGATTCCGCGTTTTAGACTGCACCAGACGAATTACCGGATTGGGCCTGCACGTCATTCTCCGTTGGTGGTCCATCTTCTTGGGCCCCTCCTCTAGTCCCGCTCGACCCTAGTCCAATATCCCACACACAGTGCTGGAGCTTTTCCGTCACGTCTGTGTACCGCCGGCGATCCTTCTGGTGCCATGTATGATATCGTTCCTGATCCGTTGCCTGCCTTGTTTCTCGTTGGGTCCGGAACGACGCTGCGGAATCATACTACTACATACAAGGCGGAGGGCAAGTAATGACGAGCAGCGCCGCACCCGTCGGAGCTGTCGAAAGGACCATGTATACACGTACAAGTACACGTACAGCACTGGACCTGCACCCGGTACTTACGTGCCACAGTACTGGTGCCAAAACGCTGTTTATTCAGCCAATTTGTCATGCGGGCGTGCTCATGCAGGGGTCGAGCAGAGAAGAAAAAGATTCTGGCAGATCTTGTTCCCCCCCGTCTTCAATTCCTATGTATGTCCTCTGTGGTTGCTGCCTTGTCCTTGCTCTGCTCGTCTATCAATGCTGCTAAAAGTGTCCAGAAATAGCAGTGAGTCAAGTGGTTGAGTGGCACAATGCACGATTGGATAGGTTTCACAGGAATGCGGCATGAGTGCATGGCACGGGTGAGACAGGCGTCTACACGGTACGGTACGCGGTGTCAGACCCTGGTCTGTTCATGTTTTTCTTTAACCCACTATCGAAGCTCCCAGTTGGTTGCACAGATGGGTGTTCCTTTCGTACCTACATGTTGATGTGCTCATCGGCTCCGTCTGCCTACGGAGCACAGTCCGGGACAATGCTAGGACAATTCTTACTGGAAGGCGCACTATGGCACCCTTTTAGACAGTAAGTTTCAACAGTCCGCGGGCCTTGTCCTGACATCAAGCGGAGGCTTTTATCCACTCGGCTGTCAGGTGTATAGTGCGCCCACATGGAGTGTGTCGTGTACGAGCAGTATGATATAAAGCAAGCGAAGCTCGCTGGGCTGGGTCGGTCATGGGGTTCGATGCAACTCCACACCCATCATCTTATATGCCTTGCCTACTACTAGCCCTTCATCTGTGATTGCCAGATACCATGTGGTATCAGTATCATCCTGTTTACCAGGGGGGACTGTATGATTTCAAGGAGTTCAAGGGTCGGAGTCGATCCGCTGGGGTCGACAAGCTAGATGTCCGCACATTATAGCGGCGTATCGGATTCTCTCGTTGTCATAGGCCTGGAATACGAACCCGTGTGTTTTCTGTGAACCCCCGATCTGTGTAAGACAGGTCCGGGAATGCTAATGTCCGCTGCGGTCTGCTCACTGCATGCAAATGCAGAGCGAATCGACTTACGCGAGATGGTTCGTAGACTGATCTAGCAGTAGCCGTTCTGTAAGCACATGGCGTTTGCTGCCACTCTTCCTCTCTTTGTCGATTCTCCTCCTGCCTTCGAGCAGCTGCCAGTGCGCGGTTGTAGCCAGGACCCCGGACCGGGAGTGGCGTTACGAGCCACATGCATCAATGATGGACTCTGCGTGGTGCGGCGGAAAGCCTCAGCACGCAGGGAGACGCGGAGACGGACGCCATGCCATCTCAGATGGGATGGGCTCTGCAAGGCGTAGGCCACCGCAGGCAAGGCACGGCATCAAGCGCGGACCGGTCCTCCTCTATCTCGCGGCTTCTGGCATCTGTGGGGGCCAAGGGCAAGGCAGCATGGGGGAGTCCTGTGTCTTTCTCATCTGGTCTGTTCTTGTTCTCTCGCCTGAGCTTTGCACATCCTCATGGCTTCGCTTAGCGGCCGTCTCCCCTTGCTGGCTATCGTCCGGCACTGCAACACGCGCCCTTGGTGGCTTGCGGCACTCCCTAGCTCAGCCCGGAAGACGACGTCTATGCACTCACTTATCCCGGCGATGGTGATGGTGATGGGCACCAGGTTCAGCCTCGCACGGAGACGGAAGCTCCCATAAACTACCTAGAACGAGTCTCATATCATTTCCACGTCCTCAAGATCACGCTCTGTGTCCAAAACCGTACAAGTATAATGCTACATACCCTTGCCGGAGGACCCCCCCTTTGTAGGAAACCGCATACTTGGAACTGAGGCTGAGAAACAGGAAGGAATGCCAGCTCACAATTAACACCCAGGCCTCACACAATACGACAACGGGTACCCAAACCGCAATGCCTGCAAAGGAAAAAGAAAAGAAAAGCCGTGTGTGTGTGTGTGTGATATGAGATGGCCAACCAGGCCCAGGGAATGACTCCGTACCTCGGTACCAGCGGCAGCACCCAGCTCTTGCGGGCACAGAAAGTAGCGCGACTTCACTCAAGCTTCTGACAGGACAGGGTGCTGCTTTCCAGGGCTGGCACCCGGAGAACGGCCCAAATCGAAGCCGAGGTGCCCGAATGTGTCTTGAGGCAGGAGCAGGGCTTGGGGTTTGGGAGTTGATTCCCAGGCAAGAGGTTTTGGCGCCAGGCCGGTTCGGGCCCACCAGGCCTCATCTCAGCGAACCTTGAAGGCAAGGTCGAGGCGCTGGTACGTACCGCGGCGCCCCACAGCACCTGCCTGCAGCAGCGAGCATGGGTTTCGGGCTTTGAGATAAGTGCACGCCCCTGGCTGGCAGCTTCCACGCCTCCCCGCGGCTAGATCCACGCCTCGGACCAGAAGCTACATGCAGGCCCGTACCGGCAGCGTTTCTGCTTCCACGTCCCGTCCACTTCTTCTCCTCCCAAGGCTTCCCATCCCACCAAGCCGGCATCACCACCCCCCTCCTTTCATATGCCTGGTCCTTGCCATGCCGTCCGTCTTGTCGTCTGCTTCTCCCACTCCCCCCCCTTGTCTCTGCTCTTTCGTGGAATATACGCTACCTGCCTCACGCTACATGTACCGTTCGGAGAGGCGGCTGTTGTTGGTCTCTGTTCGAGGGGGGCACTGCAAATCGATGATGGCCACCCCCCCGGATGAGGCTGCGTGCCTCTGCCCTATTATGTAGGTACATCCAGATGGGCGAGGCGCTAGTATGGAGTCGACGTACCTGCTCCCGCGGACTCGCATCTTGGTTTGAAGGACGATCCGTAACTGGACCCAGTAACCACGATGCATTGCGGTGCCTATATTATCTTCGGTAGCCCCCAACATGTCCAACCGAGCTTCTGGTGCCAGACCATCTCAAGCATACAATTATAGCTTCATCTCCAGCAACGACTCCAGACCTTCTTTACTCCTGGAGATCCAATTGTCTGCCAACGACGCTTCAACTCACACACAACGGACTCTCGTTTGCTCCCTCTTACACCACCGCCGTCGCCTCTACCGTAACAAGACCGCAACGACCTACTCCCACAACCACCTCTGCCACGCCGGTCTCCCTCTTGTTACCTTTTGCGACAACCTCTCCAAGAGACCACAGCAGCACCGCAAACGCTTCTTTACAGCTTCCCATTGAACAAGCCGCCGCCTCTGCGCTCTCACTCACGACCCAAAAACTCATACAGAACAACGTCCTCTCGCCGAAAGACCAGCGCAAGAGCCCCAGGCCTTTGCTCCTTTGCGCCGCGATTCACACTGGTGAACAAGGCTGCGCAAAGCAATCCGTTCAAAGCGCCTTCCACAACGAACATACACAGTTCTCACAATGGCCTCTCTGGCCGAGCAACCCTTCAGCCTGTTCCCCCAGCAGCAGGATGAGTACACTCACTTCGCCGAGCCGCACCACGTCTCCGTCTACTCCTCCGCGCCCATGGATTTGAGTATCCCGGCCGACGCCTACGGCTCATACGTGCAGCGCGCGCACAGCCAGGAGCTCTACACCAGCCCCAGCACCGTCGGCTACGAGCCCTCATTATACAATGCCGACGTCGCCTTCATCAACGGCCCTACCTCCCCCGGATACGGCGACGACTACCTGCCCTCGTCCAGCCTGTCGACGGCTTCGGCGCAGTCTGCCCCTTCGTCCGCGGTTGGATCTCCGCTGTCAAACAACGGCCAGATTGGCATGACGGACTGCTTCCTGCCGGGTCTCGGTATCCAGCCGGGCATTGCCCACCCAGACTTTGTCGACTTCACCTTTGGCGCCCACGGATTGGAGGATATGTCGGCGGCCTTTGAGTTTGCCAACAACCTGGCGCACCCCAAGTCCTTTGTCGGTAAGTCTTGATTCCATATGGCTCTCTACTCTACTGCCTGTTTCCTCACTTGTTGCCTTCTCTGTCTGCCCTCACCGAATCTGTGTTTCTGTGTATCCCCTCTTGTTTTTCCCGTCTTGCGTTTCCCCCCCCCCCAAGGTGGCAGCCTGGGCGCCGGGGGCATTTCCCGTTTGGGCGGCCAATAGCTGTCTTGTCCCGCTGGGGCCATGGCCACCCCCGCCAGATTGCCCCTCCTGTGGCCGCTGGGCTGCTGAGAGGCCCCCCGGAACGGTGGAGTCGCTGCCTCTCAGCGCTGCAACGGGCACTGCATAGCCCGCCAGGCGGTGCCCGAACCCACTAAGCCCGCAGCTGCACACTGCACTGCGCTTCATTGCAGCAGCAGCCGGCGGCCTCTGCTGGCGGTGCTGGCACTTGCGTCATTGCTCTCACCTCAACACCAAAGGCTTCGGCATCACCGCTGCTGCCGTGCTCCCTCCCGGCCTGCTTTTGTCTTTGTTTCTCTTTTATTTTCCGCTTGGTTCCCCCCACTGCATCTCCTCAGCCTCGCGCGTCTCCACCGCCTTGTTCCATCACACATCTCTGCCTGTCTCTTCCCGCCTTCCCCTGGCCAGTCAATCACACATACGAGTGCAACCCGCCTCTGGTTGGTTGTATGGCTGAGACAACCTGGTTGGCTCACCGTCTCGGCTGACTTTGGCCCGCTAAGAGCGACGGCAAGCAAAAGCTCAGCTGAAAAACCTCTTAATTGCCCGGCCTCCCTTGACTCACTGCAACCTCGCCGTTCGTCTCTGCCATTGGATCTTCTGCATCTGCATGCCCGCTTATCACGCTGCTTACTGACGACTGACTTGCGCAAATAGATCCATCTCTGATCCATCCCGAAATCTCCAGGCCGCCAATGGCGATATCCTCGTATGAGGCTCACCACTACCAGCCTGCCGCTTCTCATTATCCCGCCTCTCCCTCCGCCATCTCCTCCTCCTCTCCCCAGCCGCACATGATCCGCACCAGCAGCTCCTCGCCCTACCTGCAGAACGGTCCCTTCCAGCCAGCCACAACCACCTACTCCAACAGCCCGTATGCAACCTCGACCGCCATGGCTCCCGGAGCTGGCGTTGGAGGAGCGCGCCGCCTGAGCATGGGCAAGGCCAGCGGCGGCAGCTTCATCTCTCCCGTGTCCGCCGACTACCCCAGCGGCGACGAGATCAAGGAGAAGCACCTGTGCACGTACCCCGAGTGTGGCAAGACCTTCAAGGACCTCAAGGCGCACATGCTCACTCACCAGACTGAGCGACCCGAGAAGTGCCCCATCATGACGTGCGAATACCACGTCAAGGGGTTTGCTCGCAAGTATGACAAGAACCGCCATACCCTGACGCACTACAAGGGCACCATGGTTTGCGGCTTCTGCCCCGGCTCTGGCTCCGCGGCTGAGAAGTCGTTCAACCGCGCCGACGTCTTCAAGAGGCACTTGACTGCCGTCCACGGCGTTGAGCAGACTCCTCCCAACAGCCGAAGGCGGGCTTCCGGTGCTGTCGCGCCAAAGACACTCGCCGGCTACGCGCCCGACGCCACCGGCAAGTGCAGCACCTGCTCGCAGACCTTTACCAACGCCCAAGACTTTTACGAGCACTTGGACGACTGTGTGTTGCGCATTGTTCAGCAGGAGGACCCCGCCGAGGCCATCAACGCAAAGCGACTGGCCGAGGTTGCTGACGACAAGAACGTTCAGCAGACTCTGGAGAAGAACAACCTCCCCGCCACCACTCAGACCTCTGTGACTGAGGACGAGGACGAGGACGAGGACATGGTGGACGAGGACGAGACTGATGATGTCTCCAAGTTGACCTACTCACCCATGAAGAAGAAGAACAACAACAACAACATCAACCGCGTATCCAAGTCCCGCGGCATCACTCACTCCCGAGGCGGCGTTCAGCTGTCTGCCAAGTCTCGTGGCCGCAACAAGCGCCGCGACTACCCTTCCTCCTGGGGCTTCAACAAGGGCCAGATGACAATGAAGAAGCGTGTCGTTGCTGTCTTTGACGGCCCACGACGCCTTGCCAAGGATGACATGATGCTGTCGACCGACCACGAGGTCCGCATCAAGCTGTCCGATGGCAAGTCGTACGTGACGGACCTTGACGTGCAGACCCTGAAGCGTGCCGAGGGCTTCCTCAACGCCTCGGAGGAAGAGAAGGGCACTTGGCTGTCTGACGACCCCACTGAGGAGCAGCTCAAGGAGATGCAACGGCTGCTGGACACCACCGGTGCTTCTGAGTTGTAAAGAAGCTCGAATCGAAACTTTTCGAATATTACTTGCATCACATGTCTTTTCTTGAGCATGGCAAAGCGGCGCATAGGATCTCTACTTGGGGCCTGGGTATTTGGCTATTCTTGAATGGGAAACATTATAACTCTGGGAAGAAGCGGGTAATTTTGGATTTGATACCCTGTTTTGATATACTACTACATGTGTTGGGCAATGATGGCGCAGATGGGATGGGCACTGGGCGGGTTTGAACAGGTGCTCACAGGTATATGCATCCTACCTCGTTTGGTGCATCCAAGCATGAGGCTTGCTTTGGATGGCAGCTCATCTTTTCCGCCTCGAAAGGCGGTTCTTATGTATAATTATCATTTCATTTGTTTCACGAGCCTAGCTGAAGGGGGATATCTCTTTTGTGTTATGAGGCATGGACATGTCATGACAAGATGGCTTGTTATGTAGTACTATTCGTGTCATATGACATGAAAACAATCAAGACAAAAAAAATTGATGAAGACAACTATCTGAAGACGATGTGTGATCTGTATCTCATAATGGTTGATGTGAGTGAAGTTGTGTAGAATGTCGGGACTCAAACATCCAGAAATGTCACCATAAGACGGGAGAGCAAGTGAGAGTTTATGTGGGTGGAGGGGCATGGGCAAAATTCTTCACCCCACCTTGATAGTTATCTCTTTTTCTACCCAAGGCCACTCACTGCTTGAGGGGAGGCACCGAGAGTCGAACACTCAGAAGCCTCTGGAATAAGAAAGAGTGAATCGTGTGTCTGCTTTGAAGCTCAATCTTGTTACTTCTTTCATTCTATCGAAGAGCGGAGTGGGCCTTGTTTGAAGGTAGTTTTGGTGTGTTTTGTGTTACTTGTCTGGGATTTGAGGTTGTATATCTTGCTTGCGACGACGTTCGAGAACTTCTTATCTGGTATCATCGCGGGTTTGCAAAGGGAGGAGAGAAGGTTTTGGGTACTATTCTCCGTTGTCACGGGAGTCTGAGGCACTTGGACGATACGAACGAAGTTGTCTCGACACTGTTTGGAGAGCAACATTTGAGATTGGACAAAATCGCCCATATCATCTCATCTCATCTCATCACACCCCATCGAAGCAGAAACCAACAACTGGAGGAAACAAAAGATTTTCGAACAACAACAAGCTCCCCGACCCAATGGCAACGCTCACGTCCCGCATCTCCCTCCAAGGCGACGAGCCCGACGGCCCCGAAGACTACCTCTCGACGTCGCTGGGCGTCATCTTCCCCGACGACATCGTCAACCAGCACGGCGACGCGGAGCACTCGCTCGTGTACGCGTCGCCGAAGCTGCCCAAGCCGCTGCTCATCGAGCTGGCCGACCCCGAGGGCGAGACGGACAGGAGGCTGTTTAGCCATTACCTGTGGAACGCGTCGCTGTTGCTCGCCGAGCTCATCGAGAGGGATTCCTTGGAGAAGGAGGAGGAGGAGGGAGCAACAGATGTCGAGGAGGGAAAGGATGAGGGGTTGGGCAAGGGGGTGAGTTTCGATACGAGAGGCTTGAGCACGCTTGAGCTTGGTGCGGGGACGGCGCTGCCGAGTATGATGGCGGGCTTGCTCGGTGCGGCGAGCGTCGTCGTGACGGACTATCCTGCCCCCGCGGTCATCAAGACGCTGCGCGCCAATGTTGCGCGCAACATCAAGCCTGAGCTGGCGCCCGTGGGCAAGGAGAGTCTTGTCACGAAGTCGGTGCTCGTGGAGGGCCATGAATGGGGTGTCTTCGGAGCCTCCCCTTCTTCCGCTCCCACGTCTTTAACGGAAGAAGCGCAAGGAGCTTCAGAATCAGACAAGGCGACGACGACGACGACGACCCAGGCTTCTTCTACAGAGTCGGGGATGACGACGACGACGACGATGGCAGCGTTCCCGGCTTCGCACAAGCACCGTTCGGACCGCCTCTTCGTGGCAGACTGCCTCTGGATGCCCTGGCAGCACGCCAACCTGCGCCGCTCCATCGACTACTTCCTCAAGAGGAGCGCCTCGGCGCGGGCGTGGGTCGTGGCGGGCTTCCACACGGGGAGGCCCAAGATGGCGGGCTTCTTCGACGCGGCGGCGCTGCGCGACGAGGGCGGCGTCGAGGTCGAGAGGATGTGGGAGCGGGATTGCGATGGCGTGGAGAGGGAGTGGGATCGTGAGCGGGAGGACGACATTACGGAGAGGAAGAGGTGGCTTGTTGTTGCGGTTTTGAAAAGGTGTGAGGGGAGTGTGGATGGGTGAAAAGGAAAAGGGGGGGTCGGTGGTCGATGTAAGGGGGTGGTTGTTCTTTGGGTTTTTTGCCTTGGATGAGCGGTTGGGACTTCTTGCGTCGGCTGTGACTTTTATGTCTTATGCTACATACAATGAAATTTTGTTCAAACAACACATATTCTACACGATTCCAAGCAGACGCCTTCTTCATATGTGAGCCTCCCTAATCTTCGAGCACACGTCCCAAGGCTTGGCCCATCTTCACCTTCTGCCCCTTTTGGACCGCCCACTCCCACCCCTTCTTCTCCTGTCCGTCGACCGTCTTGATCGTGGCCGGCGCTTCAAACACCAGCACAATCGTGCTGCCGAGCTGGAAGCCGCCCATCTCCTCGCCTCTCCTCAGCGCGTGGCCGTGCAGCACGGGGCTTGCGTTTTCGTACGTCGCCTCCGCGAAGCCGAGATACGGCTCGCCGCGCCTGGCCGCTTCCTCCGCGGCAAGGTCGGCGGCGGTATCCGTGGTCAGGCTGTTGGTGCGGAGCTCGCGGTCAAAGTTGATCTTGATGGAGCCGACGTTGGTGGCCCCCACGGGGACGTAGCTGAAGAAGCCCCAGCGCCAGCGGCCAAGCAGGACGACGCGCTCGTTCAGAGTGAAGAGGCCGGGCAGGGTGCGCTGCAGGTAGGGCGAGACGCTGTAGAGCTCGCCCGCAAAGTGGCGTCTGCTCTCGACGACCCAGTTGGTGGGTGAGTGGAAGCGGTGGTAGTCTCCGGGCGCGAGATAGATGACGGCGTAGTACAGCGACGTGGTCTTGTCGGGAGAGAGCAGGTCGTACCACGGCTTCTCGCCTAGAGCGAGCTCGGCGCGGACTTCGGAGACGGCGCGGGGAGACGAAGGCGTGACGGATTCGTCGGTGACCGGGTGCTTTGGGTGGGCGTCTTTGGGCCCCGTCATGAGGTCGGGAAGGGTGTAGGAGATGCCGTTGACCCTGGCGAATTCCTCCTCCTGCTTGATGATTTCCTCATCGCCAGCGGGTGCGCTGATACTCCGCCGGCGCTCTGGACCTTGGTCGGACAGTCCGCTGTAGATGCTGGATGCGGGCGTGTGCTTTCCCAGTAGCGCGTCGATGCTGTATGTCATGCCTTTGACCTGCTCAATGTCGCCGCTTTGGATCTGGCCATACTGCAGGACCTTGCCGTCGGACGGGCAAAGGAGCACATGGGGGTCTGGGTCCAGCGGACGGGCACCTGGTTTGAGAGTTCGATAGAAGAAGGCTGCGAGATTGGGAAACACGTGAAGATCGGGTTCAGAGACTTCGTCAAGACTATAAATTCCAAGGAGTCAGACGGCTGAGAGATGATGCATCGGTGGGAAACTCACTTGACGCCGAAGATGAAAGAATATAGCTTGAAGCCAGGAACACGAAGGTAGTATGGAATTGTCAATTCGTTAAACTTGCCCCAGAGTCGAGAGATGGCCTTGAGCGGCAGAGTCGACATGACTTGGACTTGCCTGAACAGTTTGTTAGATCAAAGCTTCAATAGGCGAAGCTCTTGACAGTTATATCAACCAGAACCGAGGCTGAAAATGCTGGAGGGGAACGTTACCATGGTCCGTCGGGGCGCACTTTTGGCCGAGGCCTTGGTGGTGTGATGCCCTCTTCTTCCTGCCGTTGCCTTTCCCTCTCCCTGGATGAGACCTTGTAGAACTGAACCAGCCCCAAGAAGCCTATGCCCAGGCCAACGGGGATCTGATACCATGTGATCTTGCTGTTGCGCAGCGCTTCGCCGAGTCGCTGGGAGAACTTGGGCCGTTTGCCGGAACCTTGCGACGAAAAGCAGCGCTGCGAGGAAGGAATCCGTCGAATAAGCCTCGAATTCGGAGCCATTGGGCTCGTCTGTCCAGCAGAGGCTCGAGCAGCGCATCTCACGCGCAAAGCCATTGTCAATGGGTGCTGGCAGGCTCTTCCTCCCCCGCCGCCATACAGCACGCGGCCGGAGCCGATTCCCAGCGCCGGCATGGTGGTGATGCGATACGCCTGTGACCGAAGCGTTTACACTTGGCGACGAGGCTCAATTAGGCGGTTTCGACAGACATTGATTGGATTTCCGTGGCGCAAGGCGAGGGGTGAAGCGCCCGGAGGGTTCGAGACGGGAGGCTTTTGGAGGTTGCAAAATGACGTATTGGAGAAGCGTGGCGTTGCAGGACGTTGTGAGAAAGTGGCTGGTGCTGGTGCTGGTGCTGGTGCGGCGGAAACAATTGCCGAGGCCGAGATCGTTGGACGCGGGCGGGTTTGATCCACTGATCTGGAGCTGATGTGTGACAGCATGGAGCGGACAAGATCAGCGGACAGGTTGCAGTCATTTCTGATGGATAATGATTTGGCCGAAAGAGGGTCGAAAGAGCTTTCTAGTGTCCATTGCTGGGACTCTGATGCCTACGGAGTTCTACGAAATATATGTCTATCTCAAGTCGACATTCAGTATATCTACAGCGGTCAAGACTGTAAAAAAGATCACAGCGAAAAGGGTCGCACATTGTGCCTTCAGACGGCCAAAAAACCCATATGATTCACTGACTGTTAATAGATAGAAGACAACGTTGCAACACTAGCATTGTTAACATCCAATTGTTTTTTTGCAAGATGAGACAGGTAAGCGATGAATTATCCAGCGGCAGGAGGGCTTGGTGTTGAGAGTTTAGACCTGATATGCTAAGCAGGTATATACAAAGCACATGAACAAACCCTCAGGAGAAAATCGCGAATCCCAAGCAGACGTCATGACGGGCAAGAAGATGCGGCGGTCAAGCATCTCATGAGCATTAACACCAACTTGAAGCCATCTATACCGGCGATGACAGGTCGTGTCAGTACGGGGAGGTCGTACTATTTCCCCGAGGACAACACCTGAGAGGAATCAACGCTGAACTGGAAGTCTTATCGCCTGTACATAAAAATGCAGTACCTAGCAGTACCTCACCTTCAACCAGTGGGAACGATAAGCGGCAAGTACACAGAAGTAGTTAGTACTTGTGCATGCAAAAGGCCCCAAAGTGCCCAACACCCTTCAAGCCGCATGGCGCTAAGCCGCATACGGCAATTCCTCAGGTCCCGAATTGCTCGCGCAACTGGCAGGTGCATTGATGCGGTACGTACCCTGCCGACCGACTCGATTGGCAATCTGTCAGCTCAGTCCCGACTTCTAGAAGCGATCACGCTGATTTCCATCCTCGCTCTTCTGCATCTCCCTGGGACTGAAGCTCTCGGCCTTCCACTCCTTTCCCCTTCTTCTCTCCCTCGCCTGCGGTCTGCGTCGCCCTTCCACACGCTGCGTCTCTGTCGCCGTCTTCGCTCGCCTGCTATTGATCGTTGCTCGGCCTCACCTTGTGGGAGGCGGTATCGAGCATCTGCAGTGGTCGGTACGAGTCCACCATCTCGCCAGATTGCTGCGTGTGCGCTCTGTTCGCATCCGATCACACAAAGGCGCCGTCGAGCACCATCTCGCATGACACAAGCGCCCGCCTTCCCATAACCGGCGCCGTCATCTGTTGCTCCACTACCAGCTACGCGACACCTCGACAGCGCTGCTCCGCCACGTACTGAGAGACCGCCTTTATCGCCTGGTAGCATGCAAGCTGTCTCCCCGATATGGCTTCGGAGCTACTCAACCACGCCGCCCATGGGGCAGACCCGGCACTGTCTGACCAGCCCGTCGTCAACCTCCAGGTCGTGTCGCCGTCGGTAGGCGTCAGCCGCCCTTTGCTGTTCCCTGGACTGCCGGCTGCCACCACCATCAGGCAGCTCAAGGAGAGGATCCGACAGTCGCTCCCCTTGCGGCCGTCTGACGAGCACCAGCGACTCATCTACCGCGGCCGAGCGCTTGTGCGCGATGCCGACAGCCTGCAGGACGTATTCGGCGCCGAAGCTGTGAGTTGATGTATTCGATATGCCTTGGAGATTCGAATGGCGGAGTGCTAACACAATGCTCGCTCCTGCAGATTCGTAGCCCCGACCAGCAGACGATCCATCTTGTCCTAAGGGATGCTTCCGACAACGTATCTTCGACTCCGCCTTCCTTGCCCAGCGCCCAGAGCCCGGCTTTGGGGGCTCAGTCCACCAACGCCCAGCGACAGACGCCATCGCATGCCGCCTTTATGGGACCTCCTCCGCCACCTGGCATGACAAGAAGATCGGTTCTGCAGCCGACGCCAACTGCGACTCTGCCTCAACCTCGCATGTCATCGCCGGCTCGTTCACACTCGCCAGCTCATACTCCTGAACAGGCGGCAGCTTTCCAGCAGCAGCATCAGACCATGACGCAATGGTTGACACAAATCCAGAGGGAAGCCATGGCTCGCATGGTCAACCAGAACCAGCGCGGGAGAGCCCACATGGGCATGCGTGGCGTTGGCGACACCGCGCCTGCAAATCACGGGGGGTATGGTTCAGACAACAGCGGGAGGGCGAGCCCGGCGCCGACGCATACAATCTACCGCGAGACTGTGGGACCCAACGGCCACAGCTATCATGTCGAGACCATTGTTCGGAACGGCGCGGGCGTCTCTTCCGCCTCCTCTACGCCGCAGCACGGCGGACTGACTCCTACCGAAGTCCACAGCATTCTGCGAGGCGCTGATACGAATCAGACGCCCATGTCCGTGGCAAGCGCACTTCATCAGAGCGGCTTGCGCCGAAGCGCCTCCAGCGCCTCGCTTCACAACCGCTCGCTCAACCAACCGGGAATTACCACCTCAGTCTTTGCCAACAGCGGCTCACGGGCTAGCAGTGGTCGGGCCACGCCGGATCTGGGGCTGCGATCGGTGTCTGGCACGTTCAATCCTGCCGCTACCTCTGCGCCTTCTCTTGTCCCGCCTCAGTCGCGGCAAGGCGTCGAGGTGTACATTCTATCGTCTCCGGAGGGTCCCCGTGCCCTCCTTTTCAACGGTGCCGTGGCGGAAGCCTATTATACCCCCAGAGTGTATATGCCACCCGCCCATCATCAGCTCCGAAACAGGGCCAGTTTCCCGAACCTGGCCCATGGGATGCCGGTACAAATCAGAGACGATGTTCGCTTTCTTTCAACTCGCACCGTGAGGCAGTCCGCCCACAGCCACCACGCTCCAGCCGAACAACAGCAGTTGCAACATCAGCAACAACAACAACAACAACAGGCGCCACGACGACGGCATCAGCCACAAGAACAGCAACAAGACCAGCAACCAAGAATAGTTCCTTTACACGCTGGAAACCCTGCTGCAGTCGGCCTACCCCAGATGGTGATGCAGTTGGCTCCTCACATCTGGCTTCTGATACGCCTTGCTTTGTTTGTGTGGTTCTTTACGTCTCCCAATTCAAGCTGGTCGAGATGGCTGACGATAATTGCTCTTGCATTTTTTGTCTTCATCCTCAGCACTGGGTTGTTGGCCGGCGTTGCCGAGCAGGCATGGCGGCCACTGGGTCGGCATCTCGAGCACGTATTTCCTACCATGGACCCGGGGCACCTTGGAAGACAAGGAGCAGCCGCTGGACGTGATGGCGCCCCTGAAGCGGACCAGAATGGAACCCCCAACCCTGCCCAGATGGCCGCCCGGCTGGTCGCGGAGCGTCGAGGTCAAGAATCTTGGATTGCCGGGCAGCTGAGGCGGCTGGAGCGAGCTGGTCTCCTCTTTCTTGCCAGCATCGCGCCCGGAGTTGCAGAACGCCACATTGCCAATCTAGAAGCGGAGGTCAGGGCTCAAGAAACTCGACGCCGAGAGGCGGAAGCGGCAGCAGCAGCAGCAGCAGCGGCGGCCGCTGCCGAGACTAGTGCAAATCAGGAGAGCGAAGCTGCGCCCGAGACGAATGACGGGACGCCGCAGCAGCAAGCCGGAGAGCAAACTGCGGAGAACAACCATGACAGTATGGAGAGGGAAAGGGCTGTTCGAGAAGAAGTCACCGCAGCATAAAAGGCTTCATGCGGTGACGGGAGTATAGAGCTGTAAGGTATCCAGAGGGAAAAGCACGAAAGGGAGAACGGGAGAGGAGGACAAAAAGACACGTCAGATTCTATCTTATCATGGATTTAGCGATTGTAGGAACTTGCTTGGAGTAGGGCGTTGGAACCAGTGTTTCTCACATGGAGCCCTCGAATGTAGATGTTAGAAAAGAGAAAAAGAAGACATGATTTTTGAAAAGTAATGGGAAAGGAAGAAACGGGAAGGAGAGACGAGAAGACAACACAACAGGCGTGCAGGCCCAGGCCTTTGTATGTATTCACCACATCAAATGGGTAGAAGAGACGAAGAGACGCTGTAATCGCAAAGATTTGATTCCTTGCAGTTGACGCTTCCCAAGATACAGATGCTCATCAATTCGAGAATGACTGGATCTGATATCAGGGGGCCTGACAGCTCCGAGTCCGTCAATGTGTAGGTACGTACCACCTGTGGCGTGCCTGCGTGCAGCGGACCTCTTATCTTATCGGCCCTCAAACATGCCTGCCCAAGGCAAGCCGAGCTGTCGTCACAAACCTGCCTCGTCCAACGACGTTCTCATTATAAGCACCTCCATTATCTGGACAATTCCTCGCCAAATCCTTTGGCTCCTCTCAAATACTCCCCGTAACCTACCCGTATCTAGACCAGCCTGGTATCTGGAACGAGCACACACTGTCACCATGAGTGGTGGCTGGAACACGAGTAAGCTGTCGCCTTGGCAATTCGGCATGGAGCTTCTCGAGAACTGACGATGTCTTCTTTCCTTGCTGCAGTCGAGTCCGATGCGGTATGTTCATTTCTCCCTGACACACATCATGAAGAGCAACCCCAGCTAACACAAGCTTGCAACCCCCAAAAAAAGGGCGTCTTCACATCCCTCATCGAAAACCTCGGCGTCAAAAACGTCCAGTTCGAAGAGCTCCTGACCCTCGACCCCTCGGAGCTCCTCGCCCTGCAGCCCCTCTACGGCGTAATCTTCCTCTTCAAGTACCCGACGGACCGGCCGTACGCCGACGCCTCGGGCCCGCAGGACGGCGCCTTCGACCACGACGCGTCGGAGCGCATCTTCTTCGCCGCGCAGACGATCCAGAACGCGTGCGCCACGCAGGCCCTGCTGAGCGTGCTCCTCAACAAGACGGAGGACGAGGGCGTCGACATCGGCCCGCAGATGCACGACTTCCGGGACTTCACCATGGTGCTGCCGCCCGAGTTCCGGGGCGAGGCGCTGAGCAACTCGGACCTCATCCGGGAGGTGCACAACGGGTTCGCGCGGAGCAGTCCCTTTGCGGACGAGACGGCGCGGCAGCACGGGGAGCCGTCCGAGGACGTCTTCCACTTCATCGCCTACACGCCCATCGGCGGGACGCTGTACGAGCTGGACGGCCTGCAGCCGGCGCCGATCTCGCACGGGCCGTGCACCCCGGACGAGTTCCCCCTCAAGGTCGTCGACGTGCTGCGGCGGCGCGTCGCGCGCTACGACGAGGCCGAGATCCGGTTCAACCTGCTGGCCATGTGCCGGGACCTGCGCGTGCGCGCGAGGGAGTTTGGCGACGAGGAGCTGCTCGAGCGGGAGGAGCGCAAGCGGCGCGACTGGGCGTTTGAGAACGCCCTGAGGCGGCACAACTTTGTGGGCTTCGCGGGGGAGGTGCTCAAGAGGGTGGTGGAGAAGAAGCTCGGCGAGGGAGGCGACGAGGCGGTGGACAAGTGGGTGGGCGAGGGTCTCGAGAGGAGGAGGGCTGCGGAGAAGGCGAGGGGTGGTGGTGGTGGAGGGGATGTGGATATGAGTGGGTGAAAAAAAAAGGGGGGGGATGGGATTGTAAGTTGAGGATGGAGGTGTTTTGATTTAAAGATATGAGAGTGAAGGACCAATATACCCCTTTGGGCTTCTTCACTTGGAGCCTGTTTCAGAGATTGCGATGCGATATGATATGAGAGACGCATTGAAGCAAGAGAGAATATATGAAAACCTTGATCATCGACATGCTGAGATCAAACAGACTTCCTGCTCCCCGTCCAATAGGCCCAACTTAGCAGATCTATACAGGTCATGATCTTACATTTGGCCAGCTTCCTTTTCCCTGTAAAAGTCATGTCCACACTCCAACGCATACGACCCCCTCTCCGCTCGAATTCAGTCAAAGCATCACCCCCCCTGGGCAGCAATGATGGACAAAGAAACAAAACTCAGCGAGCAATGCCCCTCAAAGGAGAAGCCCGCTGATACTCATACTCATCACCTACAAAATGCACCCTGGCATGCTCACGCTCACGCTCACAGTCACGCTCCTGCTCCCTCTCCGACGAAGAACCATCCTGATTACCGCGCGGATGATGATGATGACCCTCACAACCATGATGGTGAAGGTTAAACGCCCGCTGACTGCTTTCCTCCTCATCATGTCCCGACGAAGGGGTGTTTGTGGTGGCAATAGTGTCGTTGCGGTTGTTGTTGTTGCTGTTCATCATGATATCGTTGTTGTCGTGTTGGTGGTGGTGGTGGTCATGATGGCTCTCGTTTGCATTACGGGGCGATTCGTGATGGTGGTGGCTCCTCATAGCTCGGACGAACCACGGTGCGCGGCCGGAGCCTCGCCAGGTCCAGTATTCTTTGAGGTCGTATTCGCGCGGCTCGATGCGGTGGTGTGAGAAGAAGACGACGAGGGCGATGAGGGTGTTGAGGGTGGTGTAGACAAAGAGGCCTCTTTTTGGAGCGGAAGACAGTTAGCACTTTGATATGAAGACCTTGGTCAAGGGGGGGGGGAAGGGACGTCAAATCTTACGCAATGAGCCCGTAGGCGACGCTGTAGCTAAAGGGAATAAACGTCATGACGACAAACGATGGCAAGACGTCGCCGATATAACGCCAGTTGACCTGCGTAATCTGGCGGATCATCATGCACCCGACCAGAATGAGCGTGCACCCCGTAGCCCACGGCGGGATAGAAGCAAAGATGGGAGCAAAGAAGATGGAGCCGATGAAGCACAGTCCCGCCACGACAGCCGTGAGCCCGGTTCGTCCGCCCTCGGCGATGCCCGCGCCGCTCTCGATAAAGGCCGTAACGGGAGAGCATCCGAACAGGGCTCCGATCGAGATGAAGAGCGCGTCGGTGCAGTATGCGATGGTGGAGCGGGGGAAGTCGCCGTCTTTGGGGTTGACGACGCCGCAGAAGCGGACCATGGAGTAGAGGGTGGCGGTGGCATCGATGATGTCGACGTAGAGGAAAGTGAAAAGAGCGAGGATAAAGTGCGTGGTGCTGGTGGAATCGAGACGCCAGTCAAGCTGGTTCAGGGTTTTGGATAGGGGGTGCCATGTGATGATTTGTTTGAAAAAGGCAAAGCGAGAGTCGCCCTCGGGAGTGTAGGGGAAGTAGGTGACGGGCGTGTTGCGGCTATGATGAGTTCAGTCAGGTACACTGCTTGCTGCAGATGGATTTTGAATGGGGTGACGTACGGCCATGAGATGATGGAGACGAGGGCGATGCCAATGACGAGGGCGTACTTGACCCTGAACGCCATGAGGAACGCCGTCAGGATGCCACCACAGAAGATGGCCAACCACATCTGTAACTTCCGTCAGCGCTTTCTGATCAAGGCAGAGCCGTGCCGGGGAGTCTCACAGTTGGGTTTGTCATCTGCCCCCCATTGCAGCCGCCCGTCGTTTCATTAATCATGTCGGGAGGGCAGCCGCCCAGACTAAGGGGAGTTGATATGCCGCCACCTGTGATGGCGCCAATGCCAGACGAGTAAGAGAGTCCGATTTCCGTGAGGAAGAAGCCAATCCCAACTCCCGTGGCCGTCTTGATGGTGGCAGGAATGAGCCTGACGAGCCACTGGCGCATGCCTGTGAGGGCCAGGAACATGAAGATGATGCCTTCGAAGAAGACAGCAGTCAGGGCGGTACGGTATGAGATGGAGCCACTTCCATTGGTGCCAACGACCTGATCATATCTTTAGCCACTGCTGAGGGCTATTCTGATGGTTGATGCACGTACCTGGTAAGCAAAATACGCGTTGAGGCCCATGCCCGGACTACAGACTCGAGTCAGTCACCCACGAGTTGTTAGGTATCCCATCAAGGACTTACGCAAGGGCAACAGGAAGATTGGTAAACAGCCCAAAGAACAAAGAGGAGATGCCAGCCAAGGCTGCCGTAGCCGTAATCAAGTCTCTGCGGACCTCTATGAAGAGTCAGATACTCGTTTTACGAGAGACAAGGCCAGATATAGATGAGACCCCTTACCTTCTTTACAGTCCACAAATTCGGGGATGGTATCGCATTGGAACTTGTCCGCCAGAGCGCAGTCGCAAGTTCCACCCGTCTGAGAGAGGATCGAGGCCTGCATTTTGTGATATCAGTAAACTTGTTGGAATCATAGGCCTTGACAGCACAAAAACATACGTTGACGGCGATGATGTACGCCATTGTCGCGAACGTGGTCAGTCCAGCGCGAATCTCCTTGAAGACGCTGGTACTTTCCATCGCGTTAGGCTGTCATTGCAGTCAGCTTCCCATACAGCACAGTAAAAATCTCTCCCCTCTCCCCTTGTTCCGTCTCGCAAAAGGGACATATGATGAAGCTTACATGTCCCGAATCAGCAAGTCGAAACACCCTCCCAAAGAGAGAGCTGCTCAGCCATTTGTCCACGAGATCGGCAAAGTCTCGGAATCCGCAGAATCTGGACCTGCCAACCATGGGAGCTGAAGGAAGCCTTGGAGATGGGATTCTCGCATCGGCTCCGTCACGCTCTTGGCCTTCCTTGGGCTGAATGATGGGAGACTCCATGACGTGGCGCAAGTCGGACTCGAAAGGCCTACCTCCTCTGAAGGTGACGGGCTTGTTATGGAACAGATGCAGATCAGAACAGCGAGTAATTGATATCAGGTACAGCTCGAGAGTTTCAACCGCAAGACAGAGACAGCGGTAGAATAAGGGTGGTTCTTGTAGGGAGTCGGGCGAATACGTGCAGACAGACAGGTGGTCGTCATGGAGATTCTCCCAGGTCCCATAACGCACCAATGATGACGGAGTGGAAAAGGATCAACAAGTACCGGCCCTCTGCCAGGTGAGCAGAAAGTGAGGCGGGCAGGCAGGGCAGCCGTGCGGCCCGTCTGGAGTTGGTTGAGGACACGGCAGCTGGCACGCAGCTGGCAGGGTATCAACCACGAAAACCAGGGACTGCGATGGAGCTGGCCGAGAAGGGAAAGCCTGGATAAACCAATCAAGCTGCATAGGTATGGTCTTCACAAGAAGCCACAAGAATGATATCCTGCCCTTCCGTGCGGGCCATCCGCATCCCATGCTTACCACAAGGACCCTTCATCAGCCTTCCCAGTCCACCCATCCGCGCCGCGCCTGTGCCAGATAGAAAGATAGTCCGGAGATGAAAGGCAATAGTTCCGTTGTTGTATGCCATCTTCCTCTGCGTCGTGCACATGTTACCTTGCTGCTGAGTACCGACCGACCCGCGTTGCCATGTAACCGTGTCTTGCAATGGTTGCACGTCCCGTGGCCAACGGTACCAATGAAAAAGGGGTAAAGGCATGAGATGCTGGTGATGGCGAGGTTGTGCCGGCTCGGCATCTCACGCCTTGGCCAATCTATATCTGATCTGGCTGGTAGCCGAGAGGACCGATGTTGTACAGGGAAAGTCTGAACTGGGAGAAAAAGTCGTCAAAGCTTGTTGTACAGAGGACTGATAGCGCGTGGTGGTACTCGTACAGACATGTTGGGTGGATCGACGAGATGAAGGGGCGAAAGTGGCTGAATGTCAAACGTGCTGTCTGCCGGTCATAGAGACAGATGCTCTTGGGGAAACGACATTGGTGCCCGACACTGTTCATGTTTGTGGTGAGCTTCCAGAGCTGAACGAGGGACCTTGGCTCATAGTATATCCAAGTATTGGTGTGACAAGAGGATTCATCTCAGCCAACTCGACCTCTGACTCAGATTGCAATGGAGAAAATGAAACACGCACTATCGGCAGCTGCTACCGATGTCTCATTGCTCTTCCTGTGGCAAGCCTGTGCATCGCAAGCGGACACCCCCGGATGTTGGATGTTGCGCATCAGAGCATGTTTGGGCGAGTGTCTTTCTTCAAGATGGCAGAGCAGCCGGTCTTTGAATGAATGCGATCCAGTGGATAAGCTATGAAGCGTGGAACCATTGATTAACACGTTGTTTCAGGGGAAGATGAACGTTCGCAACCCAGGGAGTCTGTAAGAGAGTGAAGGCAGTGCTGCTCATCTGGCGCTCTCCTCATATGATTTCTGTGAAGGGCGTAAGATGGAGATTATAGATATCTCAACAGCTCCCGCTCACCGGCCAGGTGAGCAACGTCTCATGGTCGTCTGGCGCCTGGCTCCTGGCTCCTGACAAACAAACCTCGTCCGTTGAGCGTTGAAGGGATCGGACCCTATTGTAGCGTCGTAACAAAGTCACACAGAACAATAGATTCCCGGTACTAGCAGACAAGCGTATGGCTTCATGGACTTAGCATGGCAGTGTTGCGGCACCTTTGCTAGCCAATGTGGTCATTCCGAACTCTGGTTTCAGCTCAACTGTCCTGCACCCGTGGGAGGTGTCCTGAGCAACCAACTGCCAGCAAACACTTACCCTCGGTTTGCAAGCCTCGTCCATCACCTCACTACCAGGATGCGGGAACCCGCATTGCTGTGTCCACAGTTCCTGCGGCTGGCCTTGCACTCGCTCGAGGACGTCTAGAGTAGCGGCTGCGAGGCTGCGAAATCACCGAGAATATCTGCTGACTTGAATCCCGGTGTTTGTGGCCTCCTGGGGCGAACGTGTGCGCGGTCCCTCCAGAGAACCACCCACTCGGTCTGGCACTTTTGACCTTGGGCTGACGCGCACCTCCCCTTGTCCTTTCGAACCTCTCCTCTCTCTTGGTGCCAAGTCTCTTGTGCGCTCTCGCTTCCCTCGGTTCTTGATCCATAGCGTGAACATTGTAGCATTGCGTTCCGGCTGATGCTGCCATAGCTGCTCGCTTTTACTTCTTCATTGCCCTTCGCAACTCAAAACTCAAAGTGTTTCCGAGTGCCTACCGCTCTCCAGCCTCCGGACCAGGCTGGACATGCCTGGTTGCCGCTGAGAATCTGCCCACCCTCAGTGCCCTTCAGACGGCGATCTCGCAGTGTAGGCAGGGAGCCTCTTTTCCGATCCCCTTGCACCTCGTTTGCTGCTGTGGCACCGAATCCTCTTGGTTGCGTTACTGCCGCTGCATCAGATCAAGACCAGGTGGACGCTTCATCCGCCCATTCGGGCAGGAATCTTGATGAAACTGAGTTTGCTATTTTGAGCAACAGCAAAAAGGCTTTTCCCTGCTATTCTTCCTGCTCTCTCCTTTTGGATGCTCGGGGTTCATCGCCACTATGTGGGATGTGATCTGGACGGACCCTGATAAAGAACTGGTGGGAGAACACAGAGCTCGAAAGGAGAAGAGGGAAACGCCTCAAAAGGAGCCAAAGAGTCGGCCGAGGCGACGCTCGGCATCCACAGCCAGCTCGCGCTGGTCGACTGACTCTCCGTTTGCCATCTTTCGCAACAGAGGCGCAAAGAAGACAAACACATCGTCATCAGATGCGCAGATGATGTCGCCTGCGTCGTCAGGACTCGAATCACCGGCCTTGCTCTCTCCCGATCGCTCGCCCGTTGCAAAGATGTTTGACCAGGGGAGCCGTCGAAGTTCCAGCCGCATATCCACCAGCTTCCTCGACCGGCTCGTCAGCATCGACAGCCCCTTGAACACGAGCCCGCTGATTCCGGAGACGAGCGCAAGGCTGCCTCTGCATCTCGCGAGTGACGACGGTAAGCATCTGACAGAAGTCGTGTGTTATCCGAGGCGCACAACTCACGACAGTCTTGTTGCGACGATAGATTCACTCGTGCCGGTTGACCGCGTCTCGAACGATGACTTGACAGAGTCCGAGAAGATGAAGAGCCTGATGCAGATATTCGGGCAAAGCCCGCAGACGGCCAAACCAGCTGCCGTCGCTCCTGACACTTCTGTCAACAGGCCACTGACACCGCCTTTGACAGCCGACAACTTGAAGACGTCAGTATACATGTATCCTTTTCCAGATTCTGCCACTCTCATCACCAAAAGCATCGCTATTACCATAGATTCGCAGCTGACATTCACCAAAGCTCTCCCTCCTATTCGTCAACATCGTCACCAACGGCCAAACCACCCTCCGGCTCGCCGGTCGCTCCCATCCCCTCAACTAACCCTCTCCAAATGGAGGAACTGGGCACCGAAATGGCCATCACGCCTAATAATCCCGAGGCATGGAGGCCTCTCGATGACTGGGAGCCACGGCCTCTTCTGGAGGAATCACCCGAGCCGACGTTTGAGCCGGGTGATCCCAACCAGCTACCCAAGGACGGCATCGGCATCAACAAGAACTTTTGCTGGCTCCGCGCCGCAGTCGTCGAGATGGCAGACACGAATGTGCCCGAAATCCTCTCTCGACTGGAGACAATATGGAAGGGCGTTGCAAAGAAAGACGTTGCTTTCCTTCTGGGAGACAGCCCCGAGGTCGAGGAATTGCGGAGGTGGATGCTCTCAACCATGATCCACATGGACAAAGTCCCGACGACAGATGGACAATGGCTGCCTCGTAGAGTGTCTCCCCTAACGGCTCGCATGACCATCTCCCTCTACGACTCAGCAGGTAATGTGATTCCGTCCTGCACGACCGATCAGTTATGCTAAGTATAATTCGCAATACAGCCACTGTCGCCTATCTGGCCGCGCTTGAACCCACGAAACAGATATATCACGTATCGCAGCTGTCTATACCGCGAGACGAGCTGTTTGCCAATGTCCGGGTGATTTCAGTCTCCCAGGTCTCTCCCACAGACTTCCCAGTAGCGCCTCGAATATACGAATCAGTTCACTCTCTGACGCTGCCGTCTCTGTGTCCCGCCGCGCAGCTACCTGGGATACTCGGCAACGTCTACAAGTGTCTCAAGAAGAAGGGCTTCCTGCGGTTGGTGATTATCGACCCACTTCCTCGCGCGGGCACCATGGGTAGGAACATGAAGGCGTGGCTCGAGGAACACCTTCTTCGGAACCTGGCAAAGCAGGGCAAATGCCTGAGTCCCAGCACAGCCTTTCCTCCTCTGCTCGCCGAGGCTCGTCTGCGCGGGGAGGGAAGCACTCTGACGACGACCAAGTTTTACGCCGTGCCCGAGAGCGCAACCGAGTATCTAGATAAGGTCAAGGATGCGATACAAGCAGAGAACGAAGAGAAGGCCCAGGTTAGGAGTCTGATCGGACGGATGCTCTGGGCCGAAGCGTGGGGTCGGCATGTCACTGGTAACAAATGGTGGTGGGATGACCCGGCCTGCGTCGCCGAGTGCCTGGAGATGGGCACGTTTTGGGAATACCACACGGTTAAAGGGGTCAAGGAGGTTGATGAAGCCAGCAAGGCAGCATGATCTGACATGGCCGGTCGATGCCTCTTATGAAGTTGGTCTAAGGGAGAGAGGAATAGCAGCTCTTGCTTCTCTGGGTAGTATCGGTCTTCCGTTGCTAATTGGGTGAAGAGGCGTCCTTTTCATGCGGTGGGTTGGGTTAAAGAATCTCACCTGTTGCCCTCTATCTTTGTCATTCAAGTTGGTGCGTTACTTCTCATTGCAAGATAGCTTTCGGCACTGGTTGTAGATGCCTTCCAGCTCGGTGCTCACATATATACTCCTTACTATGGACGCACACAACACGGGGTGATATAGAGCATACTAGTATATCGGATTGCGAGGAGGAAATTCCCAGGGCCGGCTTATTCATGCATTCACCGACCGAGGCGAGAGCAGGCCTCGGGTTTTAGCAGATTACTTGCTAGATGTCTGGTTTGACAGTCATCACTCAGCTTCGGAACATGCTGTGGTAAGCAGAACAGCAGTCCATACTAGACCCAGTACTACCCCTGCCTCTGCAGAGTGACATCGGACATGGTCGGTAGCAAAAGCTCCTCGGTGGAATCCCCCCTCTCCCCCCCGTGAGGGCCAATCCACAGGTAGTATTACTCCGTACTCCGTACTGCAACCTCAGGGAACCTTTTCTGGGTACATAGTAGTAGCAGCTGTTGGACGATCCAGGGTTACATGTGGAGCACCAAAACTCGGAACGAAGAGTTGAACAAACGAGGGCAAGATTGGCAAAAGCAGTTCCCTCCTTCTCCCCCCCTGCCGACGATGTGATGAGAAGTGTGATTGAGGTGCCCGGGACGCCGGACCGTATTTGTGATGGGAAAAAAGGGACAGATAGGCAACCCTTAGTTGGTAAGCCACCCGTGGAAACAGGTCCGAAGAATCTTGGATGCTACCCCGACCAGGGGGGGAGGAGGTTCGATGGTTGTCGTTGTGTAGCATCGCTTGAAGGCAAACCCAACATACCTTACCATTTTCCTTCATGCAAACGAATCCCATGCGAACCAACGGCTGGGAGACAACACGCCACTTGGTGGAAAATGGATTCTTGACAATGGTTTGAACCAACTGGAAATTGCATGCATGTTGTTATATAGGCAACCCCCAATGTGTTGCGTCTAATAGAGGAACCTCCCCTTTTGAGGCGACGGCCTTTATTTTTCCTTCTTCTTCCTACTGCAACATAACAGCATGGGATTCTCCCCTTGTCTCTCAAGAAGGCAGAATCCTCCAATCATCTCCACGTAGTTGTATGTATTGCTATGGTCGTTTTCCCTCTCTCTACTTAGAGATAGTGGTTTATCAAACTGCATCGAGCAAACAGATGGACAATGCTGCCCACGCTTTCCCCCCCTCGGAGAATTAAACACCAAAAAAGGAATGGCAAAAAATGAAAACAATACCCTGGGCATCGGTACTACCCCATCAAATCTGGTAATTGGCATGAATATCCGTATACTATTCCCCCCCCTGCTTTTTGCCTTTACCTTGTCCTTTGCCCTTGTAACCTTGTCAAAACCGTTGCAAACTCGTTCGTGTCAAACAAAACCCAGTAGATACGTACTGCTATCACAAGCGATTATTATCTCCCCTCGTCCCTCTTTCTTCCGACTTGTCCGAGTTGTCTCTTCCATTTGCCCCTTCGTCGACGAACGTTTCAAAGTCTCACAACGAACAGGGGGGGGTCTGCATCCTTCTTCTGTCTTTTCTGGTGCAGGTACTAGCGTTCTGATTGACGAACACCAGCCTTTCTCTCTCTGGAAGTTGGTACACGAATAGCTTCATTATCGGAGCAAAAGGCTGTTCAAGCTTCACCCGGCGATTGTGCCTAAATTCTTGCTTTTTTTTTTTTTTCTTTCTTCCCCCGTCCCGTATATGCTGGTTTGGCTGCGCCGCTGTTTCGTCTTTTCCGCAGAGTCTAGGCCGTTTCAAGACGTTTTGGCCGACACTTCTACACTTGGTGTACCTTACATACACACTTCTATCAATTGATTCTCATCAACGCCGGGTTTCTGCAGGTTTCCGGGTTCCGTTTGCGTGCGTTTCGGTTCGGCTGCGGTGGTGGTCTTACCGCTGCAGTACCATGAACGTAGCAACGGGGCCATTTTGATTTGTCTTTAACTTTTTGCATCTGGCCCAACAGTAGGTGTGATCCTCTGGGCTGCTTGTTTCGTTCCGCCCCTACCTGTAAACTAGATAGCATCCTTCGTTTCTGCAGCATCCCGTTTCTGGCAACATTGGGGAGGGAAAAGAAAAGAAAAACCCACCAATCCAATGCAATTAGGCACGGGCAACACTTCTCTCAGAAGAGAGGTGGGAATGGGCCACTCCATCAATTCTTTGTGGGGAAGAGGTTGTACAAGCAGTTCAACTGCACTTGCTCGCAAACCCCAGGAACGCCATCAAATACCCGTCTCCGTCAGCATAAGCACAAAACAGCCCATCCTCAGCCCTACATACATGAAGAAGAGAGGTACCTTCAACTACTGACCCCATGGAACCCACAGGGCTTTTAGGAGCAATTCTCCCAAGCTGAGTCGTAAACTAACTGTATGAATGCGGAAGGAGCCTCAAATTCATAGAATGACCAGACACCGCGCCCTAATGCAGAAACTCATTCTCTCACTCTTTTTTTTTTCTTCTTCTTCTTCTTCTTCTTCTTCTTCTTTTTTTTTTTTT